TTAAGAATTATTACATTTGATTTTTCAATATTTGTTTGGAAGAAGGTAGTTTTTCCTTTGGTATCCATTTGGACAGCATTTGGGCATAATGTATTCATTACTTTATAATATATTATATATACAATAGCAATATTCTGGGATCCTGGTAACATATCGAAACCTTGGGTTTTAAGATTTAGTGATAATACTTTTAAAATATTAGGATCAGTTAATGATATTGAATAATCGGGAAACAATTAAAATATACTGGTCCACTAGATAGACTTGATTCTATCATTCCTAATAGAGAGTAAGAAAACTTATTGTGTATATCTGGAAACTTGTCAGCAAATTGAATAGATCGTTCTATTGGGATAATTGTTCCATGATGAATATGATGTCCTAAGAATCTAATCTTAGTTTGGCATATATTAATCTTTTTAGCAGAGACTACCAGTCCTGCATGTTTAATTGCATTAATAAAAACATTAATATGTTTAAAATGTTGATCTATATTTTCAGAGAAAACATCATCAATATATACTATCATGAATTTGTAGTATGGATTAAATACTTCATTCATAATTTTTTGAAATTCAGATGGAGCATTTTTTAAGCCAAATGGCATCACATTCCATTCGTATTGTCCGAATGGCACATTAAATGCAGTTTTATATTTGTCTTCCTCTTTTATTTGTATTTGCCAATAACCTGATTTTAAATCAAATTTAGAGAAGATTGTAGCCTTGGCTAATCTGTCTAATAAATCTTTTTTATTTGGAATTGGATATCATATCCATTGAAGAATTTTATTTAATGGTTTATAATTAATAACAAATCTAGGTACACATCTTTCTTTTTCAGCATTTTTATTGACATAAAATGCAGCACAGCTCCAAGGAGATGTACTTGGTCTTATTAAATTTTTGGCTAATAATTCTTTTATTTCATTTTGACAGGTTTCTAATAAAGTAGAATTCATTTGGACAGGTCTTGCTTTGGTTGGTATTTTTTATTCTTCAAATCCAATTTCATATGGCAATCCAACCCTATGTTTTTTCCTGTTCCAAATAGCATTTGGGATTTCACTACAAATTTCTTCTTCAATCTTTTGTTTGATTTGTTTAATTTGGTTCTGTATTTCTTCATTTTGTAGTACTTCTTCAGTATTTCTCTAAAGAATTTCTTCTTTTAATGAGTACAAAAATGATTCTTTATTTGGGATAATTGTTTTAACATTGTTAATTTCTTTGAGTTTGGGTTTATCTATGAATTCAAATATGATTTTATTTCCTGCTATGGAAGTTTCTATTCCTTCATGAGTTATTTGTATTGGATATAATAGAGTAAGAAATGAAACTCCTGGTATCACTGATTGGCTTAGTCCTTTTACCATAACAAAGGGTGTAGGAAAACAGTGTTCTTTATTACATACTACAGCATTCGATAATTTATATTTTATAAATAATCTACTACCATCAGCTGTATTTAATATTTGAGTCGTTTTATCGAAATATTTTGTAGGTACTAATCCTTCGTTAATACAGTTTAAATCGGCTCCTGAATCTATGAGAGCTATTGAATGAAACTCATATTCTTGATTAATAATAACTATAACAAACCATTTTTGAGTTATTATTTTATTGAGTATATTTACAGATGTATTAGTATCTATTTCTTCTATTTTTATTCCTGATGTTTCAAGTATATCTACTAATTGGGTGAACTCAATTTCATCTGAATCAGTTATTTCTCCATTAACCTCATTCTGTAATTCCAATATTTTAATTCTAGTTTTGAGATGATTTATTTCTATTTTTACTTCTTTGACCTCTTGTTTTAATTCAGCTGTAGTAGTTTCTTTTTGTATATTTTCTTTTTGATCAATTCTCTTCATTATATTAGCAAAATTATATTCATTTGGTGGTTTTATTAAAAGAGTAGTTTTAGGTTTGGATTTTGCAATATTAATAAACTGAGTTAGAATTTCTCTTTTCTCATGAGGGTTATTTATTTTATCTATGATATCTAAGATTAATGAATCTTCTTTTGATAACATATTACAAGATGGCATACTGCAGGAACATTCCATATCAGAAGAGCTTGAAAATAAAATATTTTCATCTTCTATTTGTCCTATAAGGGAAATATCACTACTACTATCATTTTCTGAACTTGAGGTAGATTCTTCTTTATTTAATTGGATAATATCATATATTTGATTCCTTATATTTTCATCTAATATAATTGCATTTAGTTTTTCCTTAACTTTACATGTATTTTTATAATGTCCTACTTTGCCACATTTATAACAAATAGGTATTTTTCTTTTGCTATATATTTTTCTTTTTTCTTTCTTTTATATAATTTTCTTTCTTTCTTATCTGGACTAGATTTTTTATGTTTATGAGTTTTGTCCTTTCGTTCTATATGATAACCAAATTGTTGACAAAAATCTCCTAATTCTTTTTTACCTGTCATATTTTGTTTATCTAACTGTTTCTTTAATTTCATATCTGTGCAACGGGCTAATCCTTCAACACACATATTTCTGCTGATAATTCTCCTAAAGTATAACTAGAATATTGTATAGTTCCACCATGTTTATTTTTTAATCTGATTCTGACCTTTTCGGCAAATAAATGTGGCAGTCCTAAAATAAATTTTTCTTTCCAATGGTCAAGATGACTATCTTCCCGAGTTAAGAGTCTGGAAAATGAAATATCTTTATACCATTTATAATGTGATAAAGTTTGACATCTTAAATTAGAAAGTAAATCCTCAAATCTTGCTTCCATTAATGCAGTACTCCCTACAAAGTTAAGTGTTATAGTATAAATGAGTGTATGAACAGCATCACTTTCAGAAGAAAGGATATCTTGATTTTGTTCATATTTAACAGTCCATTGACGAGTATTGTTTAATATTTGATTTTTCAATGTTTCAGGGAGGTGAAAATCCCACCAACCTCTTAGCCATCCAGTAAATCCACAAACTATATATA